ATATATATATATATATATATATATATATATATATATTTAAAACCCTTGGCCCATGGATCAGCTGATCCAGAGAAAGCCGGAAGTTCTATCTCTGTTTCTGGCATACTCTTGCCAGCCCTAGCATCACTGGGACTGCCGCGCTTTTTGCGGCCACCATTAAGAGAAGGGATGCGGTAACTAGGGCTTGCGGTAGCGGCCTCTGGGAGGCCGTTCTGCGTCGATCGCAGGTGCATGTGGGGCACGTTCCCTCTTCCCCTCCAGGAAATGGTGGGGACCAGCTGCACATGTGTTTAAATATTTTAGGTCTTATTTTCGGGCATGTATTCAAAAGCCCGATTGGGCTTATTATCCAGGGAGGTCTTATTTTCAGAGAAACAGGTATTTTCTAGACGATATCTTAAAAAGAATTAATACTTGATATATTTTTTAGATCTGTCCATCAGAAAGGCTATTAACATTGTTCCCTTTACTACATTTTAGAATGAATTGGTTTCCTATCAAAAAATGTTTTCAAGCAATCAAAAATTACTTTGTTTCAACTTTTTATGTGTACAGTATATTGTTCAAAACTGTTAATCTCATGCTCTTAAAACGGGAAACATGGCATTATGTATGAAACAGCCCTAATGACATTTCTTTACTGTACAGTAGTCACTTGAAAATTGTAGGCTGTATTCATCAAAGCTGCCAATCATTATAAAGACCTTTGGAAATCTCCATTAATAAATGTCATCCTTAACATTATGAGAGCACTGGTTTATTAAAGCCACATAACAAAAAAAATTATTTAAAATAAGGAAGCACCCAGTAAAAAAATCTGCATTAAACTAAATATGCTAGCGAGATATCAAAACACTAAAACATAATACTGACAAAAAGTATTTTAGATTTATATCATGATTAGCTATGCTTCCCCAAGCAGAAAATATATGTATTCAGAATTAACAAATACTTTTTTTAATGATCAACATAATCCGTCAAATTTTTAAAAAAATCAGTCAACTAAAAAACAACAGATGGATTATGAGATTTAGAGATTAGTTTTTAAAATGGAATGCTTCGATTTATCACATCAACCAGTCTGCTACACACATGTTCAGCATCATTTGTTTGAAATAATGATTGTGAAAGAGAAGCATTAGAATATTTCATGTAGTCTACGCACATATTTCTTGACTATTAATCTGAATGCCACGCTTATTCCAACAATTCTGCTTAATGTACCTGTGGTAGCAATGTGACAAACTTTTATTCATATTTGGAGATGCCAACAGCAACATGCTCAAAAGAAGTGAAACGCCATGGCAAATATTAAAATTATATTGCCTGAGTATATACTAAGAATCTATTGAGACGATGTTATAGCAGTATGGCAGTCCTCAACTTATGACCGCAATTGAACCCAAAATTTCTGTTGCTAACTGAGACATTTGTTAAGTGAATCACTACAGTTGTTAAATTAGCAACATGGTTATTAAGTGAATCTGGCTTCCCAATTGAGTTTGCTTGTCAGAAGGTCACAAAAGGTGATCCCATTACCCTGGGGACACTGCAACTGTCATAAATATGAGTCAGTTACCAAGCCTCTGAATTTTGATTATATGACCATTGGGATGCTGAAATTGTCCTAACTGAAAAATGGTCAGTTCACTTTTTTCAGTGCTGTTGTAACTTTGAACAATCGCTAAACAAAACGTTGCAAGTTGAGGATTACCTGTACCTTTTAAATTTTCTTAAATGTATTATGCTGTCTATTCATTTATATGTGACAGCATAAGTAATATCACATTTCATTGCCTAATCAGCTTTCCAAGAGGCAATTAGATATTGAATTAAAGGCTTTTAAAAACATTGCAAACATGTAATGATCTTTCAACAGGCAATGAAATGACAAAAACATCTAGACTTTAATCGAGATTAAAATAGCTAATCTTTTACCGTTGTTTTTTTTGTGAGAAATGCATAAATTTTCAGACCTGCATATTTTCTGCTCTGCCTGAACAGGACTCTTCATATTTCATTCAGACCCAATTTGGTGGTAGTTCTAAAATAGGGTTGTCCAAATTCAGGTGACTTTAGAGGAGATTTGCTGCTAATAACTTTACCCCAGAAATAATTACAAGAGGTTGACTAGCTGCATTCTTCTCCATTAATCAAAACAGAATGTTAAAAAACAATAGCCGTGACTAAAAGATACAACACATTTGGTTTCAAATATTTGTAAACACAACATGATTATAAGCAAATAACCTGCAATTATTTTTTTTATATAGAACATCATAATTCTAAGATTACAAAGAAAAAAAAACCTTCAGAAAATTCATCAGAAAATTAAGAAATGATATTATATCAACCTACTTTAAACAAGCTTTTAATAATTTCTTAGAAGTAACAGAATACACGGAAAATAAATAACCATGAATCTTACCTTCCAGCATACTGAGATGCATGGCATCGTTGGCTCGCTTTGGTACACTAAGCATAACTTCCAAGCCATCTTTAATCTCACCTTTACCCTCTTCACAACAGGTGAGTAGCTCCTGTAAAGGTATCACATTGCTATTCAGTCATTTATTTCCATTAAATCTTATCTACCCAGAATATGTCATTTGCAGTCTTTTAATAAGATGCCAATATTCTAACCTGGGATGTTTAGGATACAGGTATTTGTTTCCAACTACAATGATACACCAGAAGAGTAAGATGGGCATCGTGACCACATGGCACAAGTTCTGCTCTTTCATACTTGCACTGTGACATCACACAAAGGAACATGAGGGATGGGGGTTTATGTCATAGTGAACACTTAGCTTTCTGATCTATCTTGCATCTGTCTATATTTCAGAGAAATTAAGAGGGAGGCTTGAAGTCATTAGCCAAACCACAACTTAGTCCTCTGAAGTCTTCAGAGGGCCCTCATAAAATGGATGCTAACCAAGAAAGTAAACACCCATTTGCCAGGAACAAAACTGGCAATATTGTACCAATCTTCTTTAGCTTAATGATGTTCTCCAACATATCATTTATCTTTTTCTTCTTCATGGACAAATTGATATACAGAATTTATAGAGAAAGTGACATTTATTTTCCGAGAATACCCGTGAAGCTAAATCAATCTTTAAAAAACATAAATTATGTTAGAGGTTAGTGCTTTATTCCAGTACATTCTTATTTCCCAGATATATATGTATATGTATATGTATGTATGCGTGACCCAACAAATGCACGCCCGACAACAGCGCGCCGACGAAACCGCGGCAATAAAACGCGACGTCGACAACACGGCCACAAAAGTGCGCCCACAAAAGAGCACCAACAGAAGCGCGATTACGGTTAAGGTAAGGATTAGGGTAAGGGTAAGGGTTAGGTTCAGGGTTAGGTTTAGGGTTACCTTTAGGGTTAGGTTTAGAGCGCGCTTCTGTCGGCGCACAGTTGTTGGCGCGCTTCTGCGCTTATTCATTGGTGCGATTTCAAACTTGCGGTTTTCTCCCCGCGGTTTTGTCAGCGCGCTTTTGTCGAGCACACATTTGTCGGTGAACCGTATGTATGTATGTATGTATGTATGTATGTATGTATGTATGTATGTATGTATGTATGACTATATGACTATATATNGGAAACAGGCCTGTTTCCAGACTTCCAGAACTTCTTGGAGGCCCATTTTTCGCCCTCCCAGAGCCTCCACCTTCCCTGGCCCTGCATTTACCTGGCATGATGAATGGCCATGTGGAGACTCCAAGGTGGGGTGGGGAGGGCGGGGCCAGCCAGTCCTTGCAACTACCGGTTTGGCAAACCAGATGTAAAATTAACCGGCTGAATCCCACCCCTGACCTTAAACCATCTTGACTTCTAGCCAGTTTAGCATGGGAGACAAGCAATTGAAGGCTTTAGTAAAAGAACAAAAATCCTTTGTTTAAGTCAAGATGAAGGAGAAGGAAAAGTTTTTCTTATTTTTCAAGTCTACATTTTAAGTGTTTCTCCTACCTTTTCTTCTACTTTTACCTTATCAGACAATATCTTTTAGAAAGAAAACCTGTTCTACACTGAGATGACCCAATTCAGGTCTATGAAGAAGGCCATTAAAAAGTTTCTACCTTCAACATTTTATACCTATGTTTGCAAAGACCCAAGCTGACACATTTTTGAATTCTATTCTTTCTTCCTGTAGCTTCTTGGCTATTGAATCAAGGATTCTGTAATAAATTTGAGGTTCTTTTCAAGAATTGCTCATTTTGTGTCTAATGTGCTTTTAAACTAGAAACTGTTAAAAACATATCAAAAATTAACTTTTTCGCAGAGAGCCCCATGTGACTCAATAGAATTATAAAATCATATGAGCCTATGATTCTAAGAATCATTAAAGAGGTACAAATATAGATGCAATAGGTAAATGCAATAGCTATGCTCATATACAAATATTATTCCCAATTGAAAGAAACAAGCAATTAGAGTATCTTTCTCATTGCACAATTCCACCTTAAATCTTTCTTTCTTTGTAGGGTCTTGATGGCCTAAATGGAATTAAAGGTGACCAAGGGATGCCTGGACCTCCTGGTCTTATCGGTCCAACTGGACTTCCAGGTTTTACAGTAAGCACACCAAATGATTTTTCTAATTAAAAAACTCTGCCATTGCCATCAAGAAAGTCAACTAGTACAAATCATTTAAGAGATAAAAGCAATATTCCTCAAGCAAAATAATATGCCTCGAACTTTCTTCCTTAGCTGAAGTTCAGATAGCCAATTAAGGCCACTCAATGTATTTGGGCCTGGATTCCTTTGAACGAAGATCTGCCAAGACCAAAGTCTCCAAAGACCCATTTCTCTACCTAGCTTCATGCTCTTGCTTGACCAAGAGACTTCTCATGACTGTCAGCTTTGACAAGTTGTAAGCAACAACTGCAAAGCAGTCATTGAGAAGGAACAAAACGAGGACAGGGGGGATGGCAAGAATATCCCTGAGAAAAAGTAGGTTTAGAAAGTGATTGTCACAGGATTTTTTTTTCAAGATTTCAGACTTGGTGCTTCCCTTCTATATGTACATTATACTTTAAAGACGTTGGTCAAATTAAATAAAATGCTAGTTAATCATAATAGCCAGAGAGGCTTTTAGTTAGTGGTGGAATTCAGCAGGTTTGGGCCGGTTCAGGCAAACAGATTGTTAAATTGCTGGTTGCCCTGCCCCTTCCTGCCCCGCCCCTTCCAGGAGTCCCCCCC